GCATGCTTCTGACCGTGATGGCTTATGACCGGTTCGTGGCCATCTGTCACCCCCTGCACTACACGGTCATCATGCACCCACACCTCTGCGGCATCTTCGTTTTGGTGTCATTTTCTCTCAGCCTTTTGGACTCCCAGTTACACAATTTGATTATATTACAATTTACTTACTTCAAGTGCGTGGACATTCCTAACTTCTTCTGTGACCCATCTCAGCTTTTCCACCTTGTCTGTTTGGACCCTGTCACTAATAACCTAATCATGTATTTTGTTGGGGCCCTCTCTGGGTTTCTTCCTCTTTCAGGGATCCTTTTCTCTTACTACAAAATTCTCTCTTCCATTCTGAGGATCTCATCACCAGGTGGGAAATACAAAGCCTTTTCTACCTGTGGCTCTCACCTGACGGTTGTTTGCTTATTTTATGGAACCGCCATTGGGATCTACCTGAGTTCAGCTGTCTCCCTGTCTCCCAGAGAAGGTGCCGTGGCCTCAATGATGTACACTGTGGTCACCCCCATGCTGAACCCCTTCATCTACAGCCTGAGGAACAGGGACATTACAAATGCCCTGTGGAGGCGTCACAGCAGAAGAATTTAATCTTAATATCTGTGCCATCTGTTTAGAATGCAGGTTGAAACTGTGGAACACCTAAACATATTGATCTGTAAATCTAGCTCCCGTTGAGACATTAAAAAAATATTTATTCATCTATTTTTCTAACCCACGATTCACCTCCTGGCCCTGGTTTATCTTTAATTGACTGAAATATGTCTGACTGTATGGTTCAAGTCTTGGGCTGGGCAGATTGAAAAAAATTACACCGGGCACATGTGCACGCATGCCCCAAATTCTGAGACTGGAGGAGCAGGGCTGGGGCATGGTCATCCCCCTAGTGAGGTGACTTCTTTTTTTTGGAGAGTTTTTTGCTATAAGGCGCATGAGCTCACCAGAAAGACAGAGAGAGACAGAGAGACAGAAAGCGAGAAATCACCCCCCGGGGGGGATGGCCACGCCGCAATCCCTTCTCCTCCATTCTCATCTCGGGATCTTGGGCATGCACGCACATGCACCTGGCGTGAGTTTAAGCCACCAGGTCTGGTCGACTACATGGGAGTCCAGCGACATAGACATTACACCAACTGCTGGTCCTGAGGTGACTTCTAATTTCCTGTGTGTCTCTTTCTCTCTAGTGAGCATATGCATCTTATGGCAAAAAACAAACAAACAAATGGTGGCAGAAGGTACACGTGCTTGTCAGAGAGGGAGAACCCCACCAGGGGGCCATCCTTTTTCCTCCATCCCTTCTTCCCATCACAATTTTGGGCACACACTCATATGTGCCCAGTGTGTTTTTCAAGATGTCGGGTCTGAAAAACGAACTGTGCAGTAGGCCATGTGGGGATCAGTGTCTTAAACGCCATGCTACCGGCCTTCAAAGTAGGACTTTTTATTTGAAGAGGATTTGCCTGTCTTGGGTTCTCACTGCTCATGGACAGACATTGAGTCATTGGAGATCAGAGGTCAAAGGAAAAGGACAAGAAAGAGATTCTTGGACCAGCCAGTGGCCTGGTGGTGAAGCAAGCTGGATCCTACATGACTGACAGTGTGGTTGGAGTCCTGGCCCTGGTGGTTTGAAAACCATGATAGGTGTGTGTGTGTGTGCGTGTATGTGCATCCCCCAAATCCCAAAGGGATGGAGAAATGGAGTCAGGCATTGTCCTATGGGTGTTTCTTTCTCTCTCCTTCTCTGTTTCTCTCTGGCAAGCATGTGCACCCTCTGGCAAATTAAAAAAAAAAGACATTTCAGGGCAGCAGCAGGTGTGTTGGTTGAAGAAGCTGGACTTCCATAGGGCTGACCGTGGTTCAAGTCCTGGACTTGGTGGCTTGCTTTCTCGTCCTCTCTCTGTTTCTCTCTCTGTCTCTCTGGTCAGTGTAGCAAATTAAAATAATAATAATGATGATGATCAATAAAGCTAAATAAATACTTCTATTATTTAAACAAAGACATTTCGTTAGCAGCAATGTGTTTTCCCGATTAATAAAATAAGTAAAACTTATTTTATAAGTTTATTTATTTCTTCCATGAATGAAACAGAAAGAGAGAGAGAGAGAGAGAGAGAGAGAGAGAGAGAGATAGAGACAGCACTTTCAAAAGGTCTTGATACTGTGATCTACTCCCAGCCTTTAACCAGCCCCGGGTCATGGGCATGCACACACCCAGCATGCCCAGAGAGGTCTCTGGATACAAACCCTTCCTGTAAGGGTCAGCCCTGCAGAGCATCGTGATTAACCACTGTGTCCCTGTCTAGGCCATTTTTTCATTATTTCTTTTATTTTTATAAATTAACAAATTATTTGATTAATTTATTATTATTTGAAAGTTTGCTATAGAGAGAGAAAGGAAAAATGAGAAAGTTACTTGCCAGGCCTGGGACTTGAACCACGATCTTCCATGTGGGAGTCCAGAACTTTTATCACCATGTCACCTGACAGCCTCCATCCA